AAATTTTTCAGTATGTTAAAAATTTGAATTGGCGCGTAACCGCAACGATGCAACGCAATAACTGCAACACGGTCTTCTTTAAGCGTCCACTCCATATTTAAAAATGAGTAAAATTCTAAAAGTATACATTTTTATTTTCATGAACAATTCGAAATTCGAATTCAATAAACTTTTTTGTGGCCAGCATTCTAAAAGAAAAGTTTTTACTGTGTGACAATACTTATGACCTGACTAGTTAGTATTCCCGTTTAAAGTAAGAGACTTGTACAATCTAATTGATATTTCGACCTCATAACTCAAGGTTGGAAGTCGCACTGTGTGAGCTGTAGACTTCAAGTTGGGCCTGATATTGAAGTGTCTATAATGCCATCGCAGTCCTCTTAGAACGGGTTTATAAGCTTATAAGCCTTCGGTAGGTCATTACCAGAGGTCGGAGTAGGTAGATTGATTTAAGGTCGTTGACTTCAAACGTAGAGGATAATATGGACATGTCTCAAAAATACCGGAACTTCATATTTATTGTGATATTTGTTCCGGAATTTTGAAATCAGCATGAATCTGTGTTTAACGGTGAAAAACGTATTAATAATATCAATCTACGCTGATATTTATCTGAAATGAAACACGTAACATGTTTGGCGCGTGCTCTTCATCGTATATCAGACAAAATAAGATCAGAACATAACGTACCTACTTCCCGCACATTATGGATAAAATGGCATGTCCATATTATAATATCTTGACGCAAGCATATAAAATCAATCTACCTACTCCGACCACTAGTCATTACGAACAGGATCGGAGGTGTGATGAAGGCAGACCAGACAGAGAAGATAGGAAACATGATGAAGAGAGAGAGAGAGAGGACCAGAAACGGTATAAAGTCTGAGAAATCAGTAAATATGATGAAGTCAGACAAGACAAGAAACATGAAGTCAGACAACACAGCGAAATGTGATGACGTCAGAAAGGACAGGAAACAGGTGTTTTTTATTTCCTACCTATTCTAGTAACATCGAGGGGTTATTCTAGATTCACCGGACTAGTAGGTGAGCTCACGGGGCTCAAACGTTGTTGCTAACCCTGACCCTAGCAAGAGCAGTGCTTTGCAGAATCTACCACCGGATCGGAAACGCGACCCACTGAGAAGATCTGGCGAGAAACTCAGTGGGCTGTGTCTGTGGTTAATTTACGTCGAGCCCTTCGTCGCAAGCGACGGGTTCGACGAGGACGGTGACCGGTGCTTGAGGTACCTAAAAGCACCGTTAATGGATCCTGAGGATCCGTAATGACGTGTTTAAGGCGACGTCGTCTGTTTACCATTCGGTTCACAGGATCAGGTATGAAGAAACAGGATAAAGTCAGAGAAGACAGGGAACGTCGTAACGGCCGTTTGGTGTAGTGTGATTCATGGTCACTACACAAGGGGGTCGCGGGTTCGAATCCCGCCAAGGGAAGACATTTGTATGATAAATATAAAAAATGTCTTTTTCAGGGTTATGGATGTACATTAAATATATGTATGTGTATAATAAAAATTTTACATTTATTTCCGTTATCTGGTACCTGTAACACAAGTTCTTTACGAACTTAGCACGGGACCAGTTAACGTGGCGTGATTGTTAGTAAATATTTATTTATTTAATGTGATGAAGCCGATATGCGGACCACTCACATGTCCAGAGCCCTGCCGAGGTGTGGGGGCAGCACGTCAAAATAGTAAGTGGTGTGGTCCATGGCTGTGCTCGCGTTAGACCCTCCTCCGTGCTCGGACAAAAACTTTGAATACTCATTTTCCTGGAATTAAACGGTGAAGGAATAACATCGTGTAATAAAAATCAATAAACCGCAAAATTATAATTTGCGTAATCACTAGTGGTAAGACTTCTTGTGAGTCCGCGCGGGTAGGTACCACCACGCCGCCTATTTCCGCCGTGAAGCAGTAATGCGTTTCGGTTCGAAGGGTGGGGTAGCCGTTGTAACTATACTGAGATCTTAGAACTTATATCTCGAGGTGGCTGGCGCATCTACGTTGTAGATGTCTATGGGCTCCAGTAACCACTTAACACCAGGTGGGCTGTGAGCTCGTCCATCCATCTAAGCAATAAAAAAAAAAAGTAGTTACCAGAGTCCATAGACATCTACAACTTAAATGCCGTGGTAGCATTCAGGTTAAGAGGTTTTTAAACCCCGATCACCTCCTAATATAAGGTGAGCCTGGTTCAAAAATATCATAACATTATATGCAAAGCATCAAAGTCTTCAATATGTACCTGTGGATATTTCTCAGTGCCTAGAAACAGCATGTGCTCACAGAAATGAGCCAATCCGGGCAGTTCATCGGGATCGCTGAGGTAACCTAAAATGTAATGCTTCGGATCAAAATTTTTTTTTTATATTGCATTTGTATTTATGTATATTTGATCATTAGAAACTTCACAGAGGTTGGTCTTATTCAAGTACTCTTGTCTATGGACTCACTTTAGAACTTATACCTCAAGGTGGGTGGCACATTTACGTTGTAGATGTCTATGGGCTCCAGTAACCCCTTAACACCAGATGGGCTGTGAGCTTGTCCACCCATATAAGAATTAAAAAAAATGAAGTGATCGCAGGACATCGTGAGACGCATCAAGTCTGCCCTCTTCAACACTACATGACGATCACAACCACTCTATCGAAAGTAATACAATTGAGAAGAAGAAGACATGTATGAAACTTTAAAGATGTCTTACCAACGTTGACATCAAGTGCCGCAGCAGACTTTTCCGTTTTGGGATCGCTCACCAGTAATACTTTCATACGGTTGGACAGAATGAGGCCTCTATAACAATAACATTTAGATATTGAAATATTTTTGTTAATTGCAACAGACCAACAGCCTTCTATATACATATCGACGCTTGAAAGGCAAAAGTGACTAAGCGACAATGCGTGAACTTTACAGTAGACTAATTTAAAGTTGAAATACCTGAAAACAAAACTATTTTAACGAATCTAACTGTAGGATTGAAATGGTTTTAATAGACCTAGATTTTTTTTTTTTTTGCACATGGAATATTGTTCTTGCCTATCATTTATGTATAAAGCAGTTACTGTCGCTTAGTCACGTTTGCCTTTCAAGCGTCGATATTAACTATTAACATAAGTTATATAATATAATATTATAAAGAGGAAAGATTTGTTTGTTTGTTTGTTTCGAATAGGCTCCGAAACTACTGGACCGATTTGAAAAATTCTTTTTCCATTAGAAGCCGACATTGTCCCTGATGAACATAGGCTACTTTTTAAAAAAAAATTTTTTTTTTTTTTTGGTTTCATTTGTGTTTTAATGTTTCCGTAGCGAAGCGAGGGCGGGTCGTTAGTAAGTTATATAGAGGACTATGCAAAATTAAAGATAATATGCGAAAGTCATTGAGGCAGTCATCCGTTGTGTTCTAATCAAGTGAGATGATTGTGCTGGTATTCAAATCCCACAACTACGAACTTCACTAACGAAACAAGTATTTAACTCATACTCACAAATGACTTCCACAATGTAGAAATAACATTGTATAATAAGTTCAAACCTTTACAATAATTGGCACAATTATTATTGAGATAAAGATTTCAAGCCTGAAGGTGATCGGCTGTAAATTGTGGTGTTTATGAGATCCTGTAATGACTTAACACCCATATTTTGTCTTTACCTCAGAACAATATAAACATTTCTCCTCAGAGAACGGTCTGCTACTCTTCGTAAATAAAATACTTACCTGTACGAACTCTTATCTTCTTGTGATTTGATTATATTGTTATAACGTCCCATTACACCCACATTGGAGGCACCAGCTGGACTTCTTGAGCCTCCAGAGTTAGGTGGAATTCCTGATCCGGGATCTCTCAATCCCAATGTGGATTTTCCAATTGCCATTTTCCCAAAATCACTTATATATCTGAAACTGAAATAATTAACAATTTTATTTGATCAACTGAAGATAGGTTTTTAACTTAAAAAATTACAAAGTGTGGTGACGATAACTATTGAATTCCAGGTGAGTTGTATGCTCCATTACATAAAAGGGCAATAAAAAAAGATTATCTATCCCCACTTTTTAAATGATTTACCTTTTTCGTGGATCAATGAATTAAAAAAAATTATAAAATGTTTTTAAGGTTGCATATTGATGTGTACATTTCTTTAAAAGTTTTTGGGCGGGTCATTATTTTGAGAACAGTGAAGGCAATAATTTAGGATTCTCCATATTCTGAAATACGTATATATGCATAAACAAGAAAACAAAGTACTTCATGTAAAAGCATTCACCAAAAGCTAATATTTTTTTATTGAGTGTTCATGTATTAGAGCTAATAGGCCATCAATTTTACATTGAAGTCTCTATTTGTAATTTATGTGAAAAAACATCAACAAAAAATTCACAGATAAGTTATATACAAACATTAAAAAAAATTTTCATTTAAGAGAGAGAAAGAATAAGTATGTTGCTAAATTTTTTTCATGAATGAAACCACAATATTCTTATGTAGTTTTAGGTAAGCTTCCCAAGGCTTTTGACTCTTTTTTAACTTAAATAAATAATAATAAATGAGTACATATTGGGAGTTTCCTTTTACAGTTTTACATAGCAAAATCAAAGATCTTCTTCTTCATATTATGTTGGGAACCTATCGTTAGTCTAAATAGGTACTATTTTGCTTCAGCAGCCACTGCTCTCAAACATAACTAGGGCTATAAGTTCAAGCATGTACATAAGCAGACTTGATGAATGTCAATCATGATTATTGTTGCAGACCTCTTTGCTATTTTGATAGCTGATGTAGTTTTTTATTCTTGCCTTTTGATGTTGTCAGTTCACATTACCTATTTCTTTTTTTTTGTTTACTTAATTTTCTGTTTTTATTAAAAAATAATTATTCTTCAACTTGTATCATTTACATAGATTTATTTGGTTTGTTAGTTTCAATTAATATATGACATTCTAATGAACTTCACTCTGTTACTTCCGAGTTTTATGTAAAAAGATACAACTGAAAATCTTAAATGTTCAGATACTCCAAGTAAAGTACGTTAATATAAAGCTTACCATGGTATGGTATCTGTATAGTAATTTTGAGTAATCAACGATGAAAGGAGTGGAAATTCTGAGCTTACTCAAGGTGCGACAATGATATTCCTATCGTTTAAGTTTTTAGTTTAATTGTATCAAGCTGATTATCCTGAAGTTCACGTTAAAGGTATGTAGTACCTATTTGTCGTAGCATTATATTAGAATGTATTACAGTGACTTCTGATATTAGGCAGCCGACAACCTTGAAAACTCATTTTTTTGTTGTTTATTTCCACAGCGTCTCGTACTGTTATTATTGGTGTTTTGTGTTGTTTTTGTTGTGTTATCAATATTGTGTCTCTGTCTCATAATGTATTGTTAAACTATTCTGAAGAAAATTACGACTTGCCTTATGTAGTGAATTTAATTAGTAGGTACTTATTCATACTTTTTATATAATAAAGTATAAAGTTATAGCAGAGTATTTAACCTGTGGGAGTTGACGCTGTAATACAACGCACGGGAATGTTGGTGGTGGTTGAAAAACAATAGGCGCTTGACTGCCAGTTTGGTTTATTAATTAAGTTTAAAATTATTTATTTTTAACGCAACACTCACGCTGCGTATTAGCCATAGATTATACACTTAATATAGTATTAGCAATTTAGCATCACCAAATATATTAAGTGTATAATCTATGAGCATCACAGATTAGTACCACAGATTAGTTTAATAGTTACTACGTAACAGTACTAACAAGATTAGGCTGTATGGTATGATATCTTTGCCTTTCCAGTTAGAAAAATAAAACTAGTACTACTAAAACACTCGTGCATAGAGTTGGTACCATGTTGGTACTTATTAACTCCATGCACTCGTGTGATGTACCGTACTTAAATTACTATTGCATTTAGTACGTATGCAATGCACAGGATATATAAAGACATTAATATTTTTTTTTGCGATAGAAACTTGTGAAATAATCTACTATAACTTTATTTAAATTTTATAATTAAGTTAAACTCTTGCATCTTTAAGTCATTCGAATTTTTTATCATCTTTTTTATTCTTCAAAGTTAATCCTACAACTAAAACTAAATAATTTTATTAAAAAAGATATTGAATTTAAAAACATTTTTACGTAGGGCCTATGTACTATGACAGTTGATTATTTTCATGATTTTGCCCGCTTTTCCACTTTTTTCCCTACCTATTTGAGTAGCTTAAGAGGCTATTTGAAGTACACCCCGACGGGTAAATGAGCTCTTGGGCTCAACCTGAGAAAATTTGCTAACACTAACCTCGGCAAGAGCAGTGTTTCACAGAATCTATCACCAAATCGGAATCGCGAACCACTAAGAAGAACCGGCGAAAAACTCAGTGGGCCTTTTAACGTGATGAAGTCGAACGATATGCGAGTCGTCCAAGCTATGTGAATTGTTTGATTTTGATAATTTAGTAGTTTGATTTAAACGTGCAATAGTGGTGGCAAAATATATTTTTTGGAAATTAAATAATTACTCTGAGCGTGCCTTCTTAGACTCTTTCAATTGTCCATTCAAATTTTAGCAATTTCGCAACCTTTTACTATGATTACTTTTTCCACACATAATTACATATGTAATGAGGCACACATTTCATATATTAAGAATTGTAATTCCATCCAATACAATTTCCATACTCAGTTTTTCATTTTAATGTTAGTTTCCCTATAATTTTTCATGCATCAGATATTTTCCTGGTATTTGTTACAGAATATTTGGCAGTATGAACAAATTTCTTTTTGCATGTTCAACAGACTAATCAAACAACAGCAAACAGCTGTTCGACAATTCAAAATAACGTTCGCCTTGTGGAAAGTGGAAACGATGTTTCCAAACATTCAAACAAACTGATTAATTAATTTCTAACTTAACTATGATGGAAGCCAATAATTACATATCGAAATTAAAAGCGAACGGCAACGCTAAAGACTACCACGATCTCGCGAGTGCCCACAAAGAATATAAAAATATCACGTTAAGTTTGCCTCCGAAAGACCGCGATCTGTTCTCATTAAACGTTATCTGTATACTGTGCAGGTAAATATATGATGTAAAATCCGTGGCTCTATTTGTCTTTCGCACCAAAAGGTGCTCAGGATCTCCGCTTGTAGGATAAGTGTCAGCGATGTGTATCTCAAATGCATATCCCGCGTGTGAAAACACAGCTGCGTGAAGACTTGATCAGAGCTCCTAGACGACAGCCGACTATTCAGTCTACACGACCCTACTCCATCTGCGACTGTCCTATGCTCTGTAACCAATCGCGTTCTGAGAGTACCATTAGGAACAGATTTAACTGAACAGTAATGAAGAGTATTCTAAACTTTATTTGTGTCTCAAACGATATTATTGATCGATTCCCGCATTAGGTCTAGTAAATCTTATAAGTTTCTGGTCTAGGGTTTTAAAATACTTTTGTTTACTATTTACTATTGTGTAGTGTTGTATGCAATATAATAATAATGCAGTGTGGGACGGCCACCTACTAGATGGACCGACGACCTAGTAAAAAGCGCTGGGTCTCGTTGGATGCAGGTGGCAATGGACCGGTCGCACTGGAAATCTATTGGAGAGACCTATGTTCAGCAGTGGACGGCGATAGGCTGAAATGATGATGATGATGATTGTGTAGTGTTAATGGTGTTAACTTGTTTGATTGCTGTTTACTTAATACACTACATACTAACAGTATAATACATCTTATGCACTGTTTTTTATTGCTTCCATGGGTGGATGAGCTCACACCTGGTGTTAAGGTGTTACAGGAGCCCATAGACATCTACAACAGAAATGTCGCCACCCACCTTTAGATGTGAGTTTAAAGTCTCGGTTTTTAGAGTATAACGGCTGCCCTTGAAACCGAAACGTATTACTGCTTTATGGCAGAAATAGACAGGTTGGTAGTGCCTACCCGTGCAGACTCACAAGACGTCCTACCACCAGTTATAATGCAAACTATAATTTTGCAGGTTTGATTTTTATTACACAATGTTATTCTTTTAATGTAGAAGTTAATCTTCTGACTTAATATCGTTTTTGTTGATGGCATAGACCTCACGGTCAATCTGATGCTTAGTGAAATTCATCAACATCATATAGCAAAGACTGCTGAAAAATAAGGTCCTATATAACCTTAGAACTCAAGGTGGGTGGCGCATTTACATTGTCTGTCTGATGTCTATGGGCTTCAGTAAACACTTAACATCAGGTGGGCCTGTAACTCGTCCACCTATCTAAGCAATAAAAATAAATTTCAATTAATTGCAGGNGTCAATCTGATGCTTAGTGAAATTCATCAACATCATATAGCAAAGACTGCTGAAAAATAAGGTCCTATATAACCTTAGAACTCAAGGTGGGTGGCGCATTTACATTGTCTGTCTGATGTCTATGGGCTTCAGTAAACACTTAACATCAGGTGGGCCTGTAACTCGTCCACCTATCTAAGCAATAAAAATAAATTTCAATTAATTGCAGGAACTTGGAGAAGGTCCAGACATGGAGAGACAGGATCGATGACAAGTTATTGTTGACCTTGAGCATAGATTGCATCAGGGAGACCCGTGGGATGAATCGACAAGATCGATTGAAGACTCTGGCTTCTATTTATTACATACACAAGCATGTTATTAAACAGGTAAAGTTATATTTTTTGTTTTGGCATTGATGACAAACCCTTTCATATAATATGCACACAAGCTCTGACCAGTACTAGACAGCTCTTCTTAGGGATTTCCCTTATGACATATTTCTTTTCCAAATATACTTAAGGAAATTATTTTATGATTGGTAACAATTTGAAGTCACCATGCTCTAAATCAGCCTTCCCAAAGTGGGTGATAACACCCCCTTGTGGGCGCTGCAGGCCTAAAGGGTAAGAGACCCAGAAAAAAAAGGGGGCGTTGTGTAGAGGCTTGGGAGACGATTTGTAATTTCATCTAGGGGGACTCTTAGACATCAACTGATCTTTCGCTATAAATAATTTATTCTTAAAGTGGGCAGTAGACAAAATAAGTTTGGGAACCCCTGCTCTAAATGATAACGCACCTGGTATACTCATCGCTATCATTCAAATCCCACAAGTGGGTATGATATTTTCTAATGAAATATGTAATTACTTTATACTCATGAATGACTTTGATGATGAAGGAATAACATAGCTTAAGAAGAATGAGATCAGCAAAAATTGTATTTTGCATAGGTTCTCAAGGTGGGTGTTAGTTTTCACATTGTGGAGTCTATCGCTAAGCACTTAACATAAGATGGACCTTGAGTTCATTCAGATGCCAATGCCATAGAAGAAAGAGCCCAGTATTTGCAATCCCGCCGTTTGCTTTCCATGAAGGAAATTTGCACAGGATTTTTGTGTGTAATTTCTGGTAGATGTTTAAATTAAAATTAATATAATCATTATCTTCTCGTGGAATGTCTTTATTAAATCACATGAAATGTAAATAATCTTTGGTACATAAAAGTCATAGAGATAAGTATTGAATACATTAAAAACTAACTTAATTAACTATCACTTAAGCGTCAAGAGAAATCGGCCTACAAATAACATATCACGTTAACAGTCATTTAAAAGTAAAATAAAATTACCTTAATTTCCGAATTTACAATTTTAATTTATACAAACTATAAGTTTAAAGAATGTCCTATAATTTAGTGAACCTGTCAGTATAGGCTTCCGTTCTACTACCATGGCTTTCTGTCAGCACTAAACTTAATTCACACCTGACAACCTCTACTCCTAATACTACCTCTCCGATACATTTGAGCTAAATTTTTCTTAACCACAGCAAAGTATGTAACTAGTTCATCTCAACTTCAGATGTCAATTGCAGATTACAATATCAGTCATATTTGTGCGTTTTTCTAATGCAACATGCTTCTTTCTGTAGCCCATTTAATCATTTTCTCACGTATACGTATTTTATAGAAGATATTCTATATTTATTACTATGCATCTACAGAAGAAATTGTATATTTATTATTAAGTCTCTACTTACTACTTATGAACAAAGAAAAGAATTAGAACTGACTAGACATTAAAGAGATCAATGTATATAAGTTAAAATGGATTTATCGATAAAGATTATTTAGTTATATATTAGATACTCGATTGAACACAATATATCATCAAATAGTTTAAGAGTTGCACATGTAAATTAATATAATATTACAAAAGTCCAGCAATTAAGTCTTTGATAATGATGAGTTTGCAGAGACACATCCAAGTTACTTGTTGTTCTGGAAGTATGAGCGCAGAAAACAGATAGTGTCCAAAGTCCTATCTGTCATCTTGTTCCTTATGGGACTACATACGTATCCGGTGACGGAGAAGGCGCGCTCCGCCTCCACGCTTGTAGGGCTTATGGTGTTCAGATATTTGTGCACCAGGGTCAGATGTTTACCCTTGATGCCCTTATTCTCATATTCAACCATTTCAGCCTTGATTGTCTTCTCGAAATTTTGACTTTTCGTCGGTGCAATCACAGTGCAAGTTTCGTTTTTCTGTTTTCTCAATTCGGTTTCCAGTTCGTTTCGAAGCGTTATGTCTTCGTCTGATGAATCGTCTTCTTCGTCATCGAAGCGATCACCCTCAGCCCTGCCTGTATCTTCCTTGACTGTCAGCAGCCTCTCGCATATCTTTATTAGCTCAAGCCGGATACGATTCTTTTTCGGCAATAAAAACGTGTCCTCGGGGCTTTTTACGGATTTCTCGTACTTCTTTGGATTGTGGAGGTAGAGAACAATACCGGATAAGTCGGTCCGGCGTTCCTTTATCCTCATCCGTAGAGCGGTGGCGAGGTCACCGCTCACTCTGCTCTGTTGCTTATCCAACTTCTCCAATATGAATCTGAGTGTCGTGTCGGCCGTTAGGAGGGTAGAGTCCCTTCTGCACAGGACTTCCACGCCCAATTTCAGCGGCTGCAAACTGAGCAGTAAATCTTTAATATCGGCCCACTCGTCTTCGGTGAATGTGATTTCTGATCCAACATCAATCAAAGCTTTGGTCGTGCAGCCTTTGAGAACTTTGAAGCGTTCCAGCATGTCGTACAGGGTACTCCATTTTGTTCTGCAGTCGAGGATCAGACCGTAATCCATGCCGAGGTCTTCTCGTGCGTACTTCTGCAGACAGGCCTCCTTCGTTGCGGATTTACGGAAAAGCCTCACAACCTTTCTCACTTTATCGATGAGGCCCCTGTAATTGGGTATCAGTTCAGCTGGAGGCTGTTCGAAATGGGTATAGGATGAGTCTGGTTCCTCGCTGGAATCGTCATCGTCTGAATAACAAGCGGCTAGTAATTTATCTTTATGTTGAGTATGCGGGACTTCCTCTCTATACAAGGTGTTGACTACGGCCAGTTGGATGCCGTGAGCGAAACACAGTTGTTGGTAGCAACTCAACAGTCTTCCAACTTTCTTCATGACGCTCGCGTCGTCGGTTGTGATACCGACAATGTCAGTGTCAAGATGAAGAATAAACGCTTCTAGTCTCGTCTTGACTAGCTCGACACATTGCTCAACGTTGCAAGAGCCGTGGATCCGAATCAGTCCTAGATTGAAATGCGTTCCCCCTAAATGATGGACATTGACATTTAAATATCGCTTGCAAGTAATTGTTGTCCATTCGTCGAATCCCAATGAAAATTTCTCTCCTCGTATTTTGAGATTTTGGAGCGTTTTTATCATTTCCGCTTTGACGGTCATCGAAAAGTTCTCGACAATCGTTTTAATCGTGTCAGGGCACGTCGGTAGACTTAGGCCGTTTTTCGTGAATAAATATTTTAAGTCCTCGGATGCGCTTAGACAGTTGAAAGTTAGGCCGTCTTTAGCCACCATTCTCGAGATCATGACTTCTCTGGAGTGTTCGTTTGTTAAGCAGTTATCAAGAGTATACTTTTTGGGAACTTTATTTCTGGGTTCGTCGTCGTCGTATTGTTGATTGTCAGTCTTCGAAGAGGCGTCCTGCGGAGTCGACGGCCCAGGCTCTTGCTCGGCTGCTTGGGAATTTGAAAGATCTACGAAATGTTTCGATTTTAAATGATATTTCAAGCCGGTTGTCGATCGCTGACTTATTTTTAATACGTGTTCGCATAAGGAACACTTGGCGTTCTGGCCGGTTTTTATAAAGTAATCCCAAATTTGTTTTTTTCGTTTGCCTCCGTGGTTCGACATCTTGTTTGCCTGATTTTGTTTGTTTACCTGTAAATTTAATGTAATTACATCATTTTATGAATAGAAAAAAGAAAAGAAACACATTTTTTAATTCATTTAAGTAACAAAACATACGATAGGCAGTATATTTTGTAAGTTTTTCGAGGTTAGGTTTAATGATATATTGTTAGTAGTAATTCCTAAGGTAATATTTAACTATATCGATAATAAATTACATTTGAACTTATATACGAAACGACAAAAAATATGACTTACTAAATTATTATACTTTATAAACAATTTTTTTCTCTGTTTATCGCACAAGCGCGGGAATTCCGCCCGTCTTTTTGACGTGACGTAACAAGGGATGCGTGATCGTAGAGCCTAGCTTCATTCTGATTATGCTATTGACGTTGGTTAAGTTCGCGGGCAGCGGTAACTATGTATTATCGGGCGAGCCAAAAGTTCGTCTCGGAAGGCAAAAAAAAATTGTATTATTACGTTTTTAAGTGATTAACATAATCTATATAGAAATAAAAGTATAGCGTGATTGAACTCATGATTTAAAAGGAAGCTTCAACTGTGATGTGACTTTTTTCTCCTTTTTTTTGCTTAGATGGCTAGATGAGCTCACGGCCCACCTGGTGTTAAGTGGTTACTGGAGCCCATAGACATCTACAATGTAAATGCGCCACCCACTTTGAGATATAAGTTCTAAGGTTTCAGTATAGTTACAACGGCTACCCCACTCTTCAAACCGAAACGCATTACTGCTTCACGGCAGAAATAGGCGGGGTGGCAGTACCTACCTTGCGTGACTTTTCTCCTACCTATTCGCTGGTAGCCTAAGAGGCTATTCCAGCGGGTAGACTTGTAGGTGAGCTTATGGACTCAACCTGAGAGAATTTGCTAACACTGGGCCTTAACAAGAGCCGTGCTTCGTAGAATCTACTACCGCATCGGAATCGCGACCCACTAAGAAGATCCGGCGAGAACTGGTCTAGTAATACTGCATTTTTGTTTGCTTAAACAGAAGGAACAGCTCACAGCTCACCTAGTGCTAAGTGGTCACCGGAGCCCGTAGATATCAATAAGGTAAATGCCGCCACCCACCAAGATATGAGTGTCCCAACGGCTGCCCCACCCTTCAAACCGAAGCACATTACTGCTTCACGGCAGAAATAGGCAGGGCGGTGGTACCTACTAGAGGTCTCACCACCAGTAATTACCGTGTATATTCCTTCACCGTGAAAGTCAATCGTAAACATTTGTTAAGTACCTACGTATTTCATTGGAAAGTTGGTACCTGCCGGCGGGATTCGAACACCGGTGCATCGCTACATACGAATGCACCGGACGTCTTATCCACGACGACTTCGAAAAACCGCAAGCTCTTAGTCTCTTGTTAATTTATTTCATTTGAATGAATTTAATTTCATCATCATCATTACAATTATTATTATTATTATTATTGAATTTAATTTAATTTCATTTAATTGTGCCTTGCCGATAATTGTACTATTACTGATTTCAGAATACAAATGCACCCCCGGAACTAGTTCTGAAGATATCGTATATGGCCTTCGAACATGACACAGGGAATCTTCTCACGGAACACCACAAAACGTACTGGAACATATTAGCGGATAGACTGAACTATTTAGAGAAATTAAAGACCAAAGTTAGCATAACCAAATTAATGAACAAACTAACCGAAGACATACTAAAACTAACGGAGATATATGACACCGTTCAATTTTGTATGAATGTTCTAAGTTATTTAGTTAAGAAATTGCACAGCCTCTACAACCAGAACGATTTTGTTGAACTAAACAAGTTGTATTTGAACTTATTCGAGGGAATGTCCAAGAAAAGCGATTTGAATGCTTTCAATAGATTACCCGAGAAGGAATTGCTGGATGTGTATTTCAAGTTGAACGATTGCTTTTACGTCATCGCTGAGAACGCTTCGAAGAATGACTTTAGAGATGCAAAATTGGAAATCATTGTACGCTGCATCATCAGTTTGGTCGGTCAAGACAGAACTTTATTTAATTTGATACAAACATTCTATATGAATTCCTTCTGTTGTATATTAACTGAAAATATCGATGAAGTGTACGCCGAGAGGATATTAGAAAGTATATTAAGATCGTTTGAGGCAACCGAAAGGCTCGGCTACAATAATGCATTGAACGTGACATATCCATTCTTGAATCAACTGTTAAGGTTGTTTATAGAGAAGCATGAAAGCGTTAATGTGAACACACAAGAGAAGGCACTGAAGTTGATCTTGTATCTCATGGGCAAGCTGGGGCACACGAAGCAGTTTCTAAAGTGTGAGAACTGTAAGTCGGCAACAGGTTGGCACGATGCCCTAAAGCTGTCATTCCAAGTTAAGAATATACTGAGCGCATCCTTGAGCAGACAGTTAGATGTCAGGACCATCTTACCGATCATCTATCAGATCATAAAGGAGCAATACGCTGTATTGAATAGATTGATTCAGTTGAAATGTGTCAATGGCATGAAATTCTTTAGGAAGCTACAAACAGACGTTCACAATTTAGCAATTAATCTGAATAAAGAATCTTACAACGAACAATCTGTCAAACTTTTCAGTGTTTACTTAAAATATGAGATAGCCTATTATAGTAATGAAGCGGACTCGAAGAATATAAGCAGAGCTCTTTACAACAAGAGTATCTGTGAAATGGATTCGAAGATGTACGATGAAGCCCTCACGGATGCCTACCTCAGTTTGATTTTCAATTTGTCCGATAAACAAACCGACAAGCACATGAATTTGGTGATGGACATCAAGGCTAAGGCTGCGAAAGCCATCGACGACGAGGCTCTGCAGCTGCGGAGTGTGCTGGAAGCTTGCAAGGTGGCCGTTGAGAAAGAGCTTTACGGAAACATAAGAGCTTTCTTTGTTGGTGTCAAATTTAGGTATGTAACATTCAATTTCTTTAGAAAATGCTGCTTCAATACTGCGAATAAATATATTCATTTCTTGAGTTGTGGTTATAATGAGCGAGGATATCTGAAATTAATGAATAGGGATATAAGTTTTTATGTTATGATTGAGGGATTACTGGTGGCCCGAAGGCCTTTCCGGTTTCGCCAGGACAGGTGGGCGAGCAAGGGCTCAGTCAGGAGGTTTGGGATTTGCTAACAGCTATCCGAGTGCCTCCAAAGGAGACCTAACAACTAAAGAGTAACTGCTTCGCGAATTACTCTACTACTGGATCGGAATCGCGACCCGCTGAGAAGATCCGGCGAGAAATAGCGGAAATAGCTTATTAGCTTAAATCGGTGGACGACCTCACAGCCCACCTGGTGTTGAGTGGTTACTGGAGCCCATAGACATCTACAACGTAAATGCGCCACTCACCTTGAGATATAAGTTCTAAGGTCTCAGTATAGTTACAACGGCTGCCCCACCTTCCAAACCGAAACGCATTACTGCTTCACGAAAGAAACAGGCANCAGTCCGACCCGGGAGGTCAGTGGTTCTGGATCCCAACCACTCTTGGTGGTGAGCGTTAAAGTCTCCAAGAACCACCACCTCCGCAGATGGGTACTGCTCAAGCACGCGGTTAGTCCCCTCTTGCACATGCTCAAACAGAGCTGAACCTGCATCACTGCTGTGGGACCTGTACAGGCACGCGTAGATTCGGCTACGGAAGGAAGGGAGAAATATAGTATTAAAAGTTTTAATTTAAGTAGTGGTCCGCCAGTAGTAAAATTCGACTATAATTCATTAAAATTATGAGATTCAATATTATTAAGGTTTAGTATCAAAGACTATTAAACTTCTTTAATCACATATTTCGCCAAGACTACTAATAGACAAATAATATTAAACACAAACAATATTAATCTATTCTCAATTAGACCACAGACTTTAAACAATAACAGAAGTTTGACAATAAAAACAGAGTATATATAAATGTGTTGTGTCAAATACATGGTAGTGTAATGTTTCTTTTTATTATTGATTTAATGTCATTTTTTATGCATAATTTAAAAAATGTTATCATTCTGCACTCCTTTTCTACATTCTCTATAAATGTGGGAAATTTCATACTCCTCCGTCCGCGCAATTTTGCGTAAAAAGGGATACAAAGTTTTTGCTTCACGCACCTACATATTAACTTAAAGATTTGTAAATCTAATTGACACGTGTCAATTTTGACACATGTCAACGATGCTTGTGACGTAACGTTTTCAGCGAGATCCTGCAGCACGAGTTTTCAATGTACGCCAAGCAGTGGCCCTCGATGGTTCCAGTGGCAGGCGTGTGGACCAGCCTGTGGGATCTGCTGCAGGGGCGGCACCCCTGGACGCACGGTAAGTTGGCCTATATATTCCTTTGGGTCGGCTAGGCGTGTCACGCAAACAGTATTGCCACCTCAATCTGACCCGGTGGTAGGATCTCTTGTGAGTCCGCACTGGTAGGTACCACCACCCTGCCTATTTCTGCCGTGAAGCAGTAATGTGTTTCGGTTTGAAGGGTGTGTGACAGCCGTTGTTACTATACCGAGACCTTAGAACTCATATCTCAAGGCGGGTAGCAGCATCTACGTTGTAGATGTCTATGGGCTCCGGTGACCACTTAACATTGATCTATTCTTTCGTTGTTATTGCAGCGGAACAAGAGAGCGTTTACAAGTGGGCCCTCTATGACGTCATGCTCCAGACCCCTGATCACGTGAGGAGTCTGCACTGCAAGCACTATCGAAGGGTCGTCAATATCGTCATCGACTACATGGATCGGAATGGGGTTAGTGATTAGACCAAGCACAGGGACATGATGATGAAGGGTTGTCAGACGGTCAGTGACAGTGACAGTGATAGGGGGCGGACCTGACCTTCGACCTTTCTTTGACCTTTGATCGAGTACTCCATCGGCAGTGAGGAGACGGTGCCATTTGTTGAGGGCATGATGTACTGCGGTGATCCTGGACCATAAGTCCTTTTGCATAGTCACTCTGCTTGGGGCATGACGGCGTATCCTTGACTGTACTAGTCTACGCTAGGTTAATGATGATCCCCCCCCCCTTCGAATTGGAACGTTCTGTTGCAGTAATGGTGGCTTTTTTTTTAATAATAGATTTTATGACCTGGTAACTAAGACCTGTAAGTCATGTCTTATTTTAATTTATATTCTTATTTTTATGAAAAATGATAATAAGGAGTGAAATTAAATGAAATGAAGATGATTAATTAGATACATTAATCAACTGGGATGAAATTAAATGAAATGAGATGATATGAAATGAAATATAATCTCAGTAAAATGGTGGTCATTTACTGAGATTTTTTCAGTGGACTTTTTGGTGGATCTCGACAAGTTACGTCCAGCGGCTTGTTTCATTTTCCCACATTTGTGCACTTTCAGAGATATTAAACAGTTAATAAACCACCGTTATTACACATTTAAACATGGCAAAACACTAAATAGACAAAATAAAACAAATCACACAACTTCACTCCTCGCGTTCCCGCCAAAAAGTCCGCAATGGTGGCTTTCGCCTCATCTGGATAGTGAATATGTGAACTTCATGCTGAGTTTAATTAATGACTCAGGAGCCTGTGGTCCGTAGACCGCTCGAATGCCAATTGGGCCGTTTGTGTTATGGTTATGGCAGAGGTGCCGAAGTTCGACATAACCTGGTCGTTAACCCCCGATGTCCACGGACAGATGGCGCTACCAGTAACAGCTCTTTACAAATGCTCCGCTAGATGACTCCACTAGTCATTTTATTTGTAAAACTAGCGGCCCCCTCCGGCTCCGCTCGGGTCTTTTAACCAAAATTACAACGATATATGACGTTGTTTAATTTTTAAAATAAAAGAACGCTTATTGCGGCGTAACTATAATAGTGACACATATGCTGTCGCGATACTTTTTGCAAATAATAATGTGTTCCACAAAGTCGTAGTACATTAATTTATTCTATCATCAATAGTTTTGGCAGGGCACGCGATGTAAAGAATGTTTTAGGTAATTTTTTTACACCTTGGGTTACATTATTGGAGCTTTAGTAAGGATCCCTCTTTTTTTTTCAAAAAAGATTATATGTGCCTATGTCACCCGGGAATAGTGTAGCTTCCAAACAGTGAAATAATTTTTCAAATCGGTTCAGTAGTTTCGGAGCCCATTCAATACAAACAAACAAATCTTTTCTCTTTATAGTATTAGTATAGATAACCCCGACAGATGTCGCTGTAACTAAATTTTTTTTACAGACTAAAGAAGTTGACGAGAAAATCGTGTACGTGACGCTGCTGTTTTTGAAGTCCGAGATCGACTTGTGTGAGGCCAGCGAGGTGCACGGCTGGAGGGCCGGAGAGGCGGTGAGTGTCGGTGAGCGCCCGTGAGCAACACGTCCTCGAGCATATCTTATTACAGTTTTTATTTATTGCTTTGACGGTTGGACGAGCTTACCTGGTGTTAAGCGGTTACCTTGGCCCATAGACATCTACAACGTAAATGCCGCCATTCACCTTGAGATACAAGTTCTAAGGTCTCAGTATAGTTACAACGGCTGCCGCGCCCTTCAAACCGAAACGCATTACTGCTTCACGGCAGAAATAGGCAGGGCGGTGGTACCTACCCGCGCGGACTCACAACAGGTCCTACCACCAGTAAAAAGTTAATTGTTGTTGCAGAATTCAGATCCTGACAAGGTCCAATACACTAGGACCCTCAAGCAGGAGCACGACGCGACCAGACCGGCCCTACGCGCGGTGCCGCTGTGGGGGGACCTTGCGCCCCACCTGGATCGAGGTGGGTTGAGACATGAGGTCGAGGACTCATTGCTGAGAGCGCCGCCCCTTGCGCGGGTGTCGCCCGAACGCACGACTTACTAATTAGGCCACAATAGCTTAACGTAGATAAATTTAATTATTTTAATATATCTGTGGCGGGTAGCCATCATACAACGCAAGATAATTGACAGATGCCTGAATCTCGCTTACGACATTTTCAAGATAAAGCGCATATATACAAGTTCCGAACAACAACATTCGGACCGTCGGTCTACCGAGCAATATCACCCGCTCGGTGGAAGATCTTCCCTTTCGTCGTATATATATCCCCAAATATCTATACTTACAATATTATAAAACGGAAAAGTTTGTTTGTTTGAACGCGCTAATCTCAGGAACTACTTGTCCGGTTTGAAAAATTCTTTCAGTGTTAGATAGCCCATTTATTTAAGAAGGCTATAGGCTATATAACATCACGCTAAGATCAATACAAGCGGAGCACCAATAAAGAATGTTTCAAAATCGGGGTTTTTTCCCCTTTTGAGAGCTTCCGCTGCGTGCACTGCGGAAACTGTTAAAGTTTCGCTAAAATAACGTGTGATAGTTGATAGTTCCCCTTTAAAAGATCTAAAAAAAGTCCGCGACAGCATATGTCTGTATGTTAAGGTTGGCTCACTATAACGGTTTTTTATGCTAACCAAATTTGTTCTAAAATAAATAAATATTTGTGAACTATTCCACGCGGACGACGTCGCCGGCAAAAGCTAGTATAAAATATAGTTTGTTGAAAGTTCCCGTTCTGTGGGGACCGGGGACCGATGTATGTACGTACGTCTGTCCCCCGGCGTCTCCATGGTACGGGAGCAGTCGTACATACAGTGAGGGGGTGGGGGGTCCACAGCGGGGGGCGGGCGCGCGGGGGCGGCGCTGCGCGTGGCGGGCGCGCTGGTGCAGCAGCTGCTCTTGCTGGACTACTCGGCGCATGCACTGCAGCTGGCGCGGGCGTGCTGCGCGGCGGCGCGGTCCCTGGACGACAGGTGTCAAATTATATTAACAGGGGATTCTAATATCTATTAATGGGGAGTGCTCTGAAGAATTGTTCGAGATGATTGTAGGCAGCGGCTTGGCTGTGCCCCTGGCATTGCTGAAGTCCATGGACAACGGTAACCACTCACCATCAGGTGGGCCGTGTGCTCGTCTGCCTACAAGGACAATAAAAAAAAACTAGCTATACCCGTCCGCTTCGCTGGGCATTTAAAATTAACATTACTATTTCTCACCCCCGCAAAGATTCTCATTATTAACGCCCCCGCAACTGGTGTACGCAGTCCAACACTCATATAAATATTAGCCTATCCATTAAGTACATGTATTTTCTACATGGATACCAAGTTTCAAGTCAATCGGATGCATGGTTCAGTAGTTATAACATAACATCCGTAAAAACCACTGTAGATTTATATATTAGTGTATAGATATAGATGCCAAATTATATTAATATAATAGAAATAATAATAGTTAATTTTAATTCGTGCACTTGGCGTGACTAGTGAAATTTCGTTTTATTTAAAAAGATATTTAATTTTTTTTAAATAATACCCTCAAAGTTACCTCATTGCCATTGAATGAAAAAAAAAATGTGATATTGTGGGACACCGGATAGGAACGAAGTTCCTTATTTAAAAATATTAATTTTAAGTTCTATTCGAGGTATAAAGAAAATAATTAATCGGATATACATATCTTATCATGAAATTTTTTATTGATAAAAAAAAACTACTTTACAAAGTTATCAACTTTAATTTATTCACAATGATTTATATAAAATATATAATAAAAACATGATGTGTTTTGTACGTTATTACAAAGTTAAGTCGTATACTGAGTGTATTACTAATAAAAATCTTACGTTACGGACGTTTTTTCCCAGTCAGGGTACCCCTCCGCAACGTCACATAAGGAACTTCGTTCTAAAAAAAATTAGAGCACTGATAAAAATATACGAACAAGAAAAAGGTACTGAATTTCTATTTTGAAACTGCCATTACCAAATCGAAGAGTGGGGGACGGTTGAACTGTACTCTTGAGACGTCGACCTCATGTTTCTAGGCGGATCAACGCTGTGTATAGTACACAGACGGTCGGTAGGCAGCGGCTTGGTTCTGCCCCTGGCATTGCTGAAGTCCATGGGTGACGGTAACCACTCACCATCAGGTGGGCCATGTGCTCGTCTGCCTACAAGGGCAATAAAAAAAACCATAGTTTTCTAACAGTTTTGTGACCGTTACAGAGAGGCGTTCATCCGTAACGCGGGCGTGCTGCTCTACCACATGGAGACCGAGAGCGAGGAGCTTAACTCGCTGCTGTCCGTGGGCTCCTCTTGGTGCCGGGGCCTGGACCCCGAACTTGTTCTGACCTTCCTCTGCGAAGCGGCCGTGAGTGGACACCTCCTGTTGTCAGTTAAACGCAATACCGTAAAATGGAGGGAATCGGGACCCTTTCCAAATCCAACACAAATTTCCAATAGTTTTTTTTATTTTTTTATTTATTGCTTTGATGGATGGACGAGCTCACAGCCCACCTGGTGTTAAGTGGTTACCGGAGCCCATAGACATCTACAACGTAAATGCGCCACCCACCTTGAGATGTAAGTACTAAGGCCTCAGTATAGTTGCAACGCCTGCCCCGCCCTTCAAACCGAAACGCATTACTGCTTCACGGCAGAAATAGGCAGGGTAGTGGTACCCACCCGCGCGGACTCACAAAAGGTCCTACTACCAGTAATAAGGTAAAAGTAATGTCTCATCCCATGCGGTCCTGGTATGCTGTAACGCTCAGGAATTCGCGTGGAGACGGCCAATGTGGAATGTTAATTTCATAAACTTAATCAAGTTCATCACTAAATCTTTTCGGCACACTGGAGACAAATGTTCATTTATTTGAATCCTTTCAGATCCACTACACCAGACGAGGCGCTGCGGGGGCCGCGGCCCGCCTGCTGAGGGTCGCCCAAGCGCGGGCCCTCGCCTCCGCAGAGAAGCGACCCGGCGCCATCTGTGAGTAACCCTGGGGTCCTCACGGCCTGACCCATATTGTACTCTTGGATACTGTCCTGGTAACACCCACATACCCAGCGGGAGGTCTCATTCGTGTGACAGATACGGTTTGAAGTATCTGTTGTCTTCGCGTGGAGCTACATGACCATGACAGTGTCCAAAGCCATACATTGTTCTAAGGTACTGGTGGTAGGACCTCTTGTGAGTCCGCGCGGGTAGGTACCACCAGGCGTGTAACTATACTGAGACCTTAGAACTTATATCTCAAGGTGGGTGGCGCATTTACGTCGTAGATGTCCATGGGCTCCAGTAACCACTTAACACCAGGTGGGCTGTGAGCTCGTCTACGCATCTAAGCAATAAAAAAATAAAAAAGATCACACTTTTAACTCACACTAACGAATGACTTCCGTGATGGAGGAATAACATCGTGCAATGACCACGATCGAATTTGTATGTAAAGTGTCCGTGTTTAGGCAATTACCCCAATTACCTTGTCCCCCCCCCCCCTTGACCAGAGCCCATTCACATTCCCTAGAACTGCTGGGTGTATCCAAAATACGATTCCAGAAATCTCTGCCACACACTATCCTTTACTTCCCTATTCTTTATTTCCTTTTACTGTCTTCCCTCAGTACTCAGGTACTCAGCGGTGGGCAGCGGCCTGGCTGTGCCCCCGGCATTGCTGACGCTCATGAGTGACGCTAACCACTCACAATCAGGTGGATTAGATATCTCACCCGGCAGCGTTCAATACGTAAGACTGTTGTTGTCGGTCCCCAGCGGATCTGGCGGTGGGTCGGCTGCTGGAGGCACAGCATCTGCTCTGCAAAGGCGCGGGCCCCAGCCTGATGACGGCGCTCAACGCCATCCAGAGACACTACCTGGCCGCCCCCCACCTCGGTGAGCGCGCCCTCCCGAACCGTCCCCCCCTTTTGATATATGGGGGGGCAGCTTTATTTTTGTACTCTGAACAATATCGACGGGTGAAAGGCTAACGACATTTATCTTTGTAATTAAAGGTCCGTTTCTTATTTGGTATCAGCATCAACAGTTTCATATTTTTAATCGATCTTCAATTAAGTTTACAACATTAAAATAGCTGAAGACTTTTTATTGTTATCTATATTATATTTTATTGAATCAAGAAATTTCGTAACGAAATAAAACCTAACGCCCCCACTCCGCCTACCATGTAGCCCCCGTTCAACACATTCACACGTTGCGCTTGTGTAGTGTTTGTGACTAAGCGCGCGGCGTGACGTCACACTGCATGCGTATCATGAAAAGTCTGCCCATCTCTCTCTCTCGCGTGGTCTAGCTTATGAGTGCGAAGGGGACAGTTAATGTTTTGCTTTTGTTAATGTTTATAAATATAGCGTGGCCTTATTTTATTATTGTTTTAATATTAAATTATTATTGTCTAATTATAATTGCATAAGTTGATAAAAAATGCGATGCAATAGCTTTTCCGGCAGTCCCCGAGTGCCACACGTTTTTTTTTATCTATTACACATAGAAAATGAGCAGTAAATTTTCGATTATTCCCATATAATGTGTGTTCATAGTGTATAATGTAATTTTCTAAAGAAATTTTTAGCAAAAATCTCGTTATCGCGTTATAGAAGTACCGCGTTATAAGAAGGTACAGAGGAATATTTATTTTCGCGTTATAGTGGAACCGTGTTGTAAAATACCGTGTTATAGGAGAATTACCTGTATTGTTTATTACGAAACTATTTACTTGCGGACATTTTTATTACGTCGAATCGATGACTCTAACAGGTCATTGATAATGAATGATGTTTCGATCAGGGTCAGGCTGGTGCGCCCGCAAGCAGTACGGCCTCTGTCTGCGGTGGTCCGCGGTCCGCGCCAACGTGCAGGCGCTCACCGCGCCCCCCGACCCCCGGCGACACCACCCCGCGGCGGTCCCCCACCCCGCCACCGCCGCCGCCACCATGTACGCCGCGCTCGCGCACACCCTCACTCCGGACGAAGCACAGGTCAGTAGCGACCCCGCCCCCGACCCCCGGCGACACCACCCCGCGGCGGTCCCCCACCCCGCCACCGCCGCCGCCACCATGTACGCCGCGCTCGCGCACACCCTCACTCCGGACGAAGCACAGGTCAGTAGCGACCCCGCCCCCGACCCCCAACCCCCCGGCGTGTCAGACGTCACTTTTGTTAACACAACGGCTTTGCCACTCTATAAACCACGGCAGAAATAGGCGTAATGATGGCAGCTAAACGTTGGCGTTAAATGCCGGATATCAGTTTCAGCACGCTGGTACAACACTCAGAGAACGCTGCTGTCCACACGTAGAGATGGAGGGTGCTATACTGAACCACGCATGCACCGAAATTATTTTGGGGTTGTTAAAGCTAGAGCTGACGCTATTCTTATACTGAATATTGTTTTAGGTCCAGATCGACAACCGTCTGAAGAATATACTGGGTCTCCAACCGACGACCGAACTCCAGCCCTCGCACGGCAGAGAAGCCGTGAAAGCAGCGCACGTACCACAAGACTTGGAGACGATGTTGGATTGCAGGACCTTCAAGAGGACCCAGACCAGCCCCGGCGTCCCCTGTCTCTCGGTGCCGGCTTTCAAGATGCCGGAGTACTTCCACCACGACCCGGCCTGCGACTGCTTCGCGTGCAGCAAGCCTTCGACCCTGGTCTTGGCCTGTAAGACAGCAGGCCTGGAGGCTTCCGTCTACTTCAGATCCAAGGAGTACGATATTGCGGAGAATTACTTCAAAGGCGCTTTGGATATGATACGCATAGCCGAGAGCAAACGTCCAGGGGCTGACTGCGAGAGGTTCATCGCCGAGGACCAGAGCAGGAAGCATCTGCGTCAGCTGAGACAGGTATGAGGTGTAATTAAAATTTAATTATTTTATTTTATTTTTAATAATTATTATCTAATATATAAAATTCTCGTGTCACAATGTTCGTTCCCATACTCCTCCGAAACCGCTTGACCGATTCTCATGAATTTTTTTATGCATATTCAGTAAGCCTGAGAATCGGCTTCTATCTATTTTTCATACCCCTAAGTGATTAGGGTTGTCCACCCCAACATATATTTTTTATTTGGACTTTTTTTTTGTTATAATGAGGTATTATGTGGTTGAATGAGGTTTTGTTATTTTTAATATATATTCCTCATCGTTCACAGCACTACATACCTCTTTCACTCATTTACCACATCCTTACACACTTACAATAAGTTAGTTTTTTTTTCTACACTAGAAATTCCCTAGAAATCTTATATATGGCAAAACAATGTTTGCCGGGTCAGCTAGTTATATTATAATACTCTGTGTATTAATTGTATGTATATTTACGGAGATATGTATGTGTGTATGTATGTGTATAGTATGTGTACATATATGTATATGTATTTCACTGGAATGATACACCGCGCGTAGTTCGTTTCCAAATGATTCTTGTCCACCTCATGGTTGTCTGGAAGAGATCGCTCTTAGCGATAAGACCGCCAGTTGTACTTTTTTGTGTTTAATGTATCGCACTGCTTGTTTTTTTTGGTGTACAATAAAGAATACTCTCTCTCTTTCTCTCTATAAGGTGTTGTAAAATTAAAGCATCCGCACAGTTTAAAACACTACCAGCTTATTGTCAAAGATGAGAAAGCACAAACACAAAGAAGGAGAAGAGAGTGAAGATATGTGAAACAATAAGATAAAGCGACAGTTACTGGTGGTAGGACCTCTTGCGAGTCCGCGCGGGTAGGTACCACCGCCTGCCTATTTCTGCCGTGAAGCAGTAATGCGTTTCGGTTTGAACGGCGGGGCAGCCGTTGTAACTATACTGAGACCTTAGAACTTATATCTCAAGGTGGGTGGCGCATTTACGTATCTATGTCTATGGGCTCCAGTAACCACTTAACACGAGGTGGGCTGTGAGCTCGTTCACCCATCTAAGCAATAAATAAAATATATATATATATATATATGTATATATATAATTACTATCGTAAGCCAAAGTTATTAAGAAAGCGCAAGCGTCTCGCATTAAATCGACCAGCTGACTGACTTGGCGACTTGGGCCGGTACAAAGTGTGTCTAGAATGTCTAGATGTACCTAAGCATTTATTTTATATTTCTACATTGAAAACAGCTTTGTTCACTCGCAGTCACTATATAAAAATTCGGATCGTTTGTCCGTTCAACGCACAATTGATTAGTAAAAATGTAAATAAATTTTTACATCTTACAATGTATGTAATAATAAAAAAAGGGTGCGTGTAGTTATGTACGCGCGTAAGAAGTTATACTTTATTTTTATTAAATTTATTTCTTTTTTTTATTTAAATTTTAATCAATTTGAAAAAAATCGATTAAACACGCATATTGGACATCCCTTTACTTGACATCGTATAAATATGGTAATTCTCGGTACGGTTCGGAAAGTTCACCTGCGGCTATATTCAGACTCGCCAAGTTACGTCGGTCGTATTGTAATAAAGTATTGTAAGTGACATGGTCACTACACAAGGGGGTCGCGGGTTCGAGTCCCGCCAAGGGAGGATATTTGTATGATAAATATAAAATATATTTTCCAGGGTTATGGATGTATATTAAATATATGTATGTGTATAATAACAATCTTACATTTATTTCCGTTATCTGGTACCTGTAACACAAGTTCTTTACGAACTTACCACGGGACCAGTTAACGTGGCGTGATTGTTAGTATATATTTATTATTTATTTATTTGTTATTATTTATTAAAGAAGTATAACTTCAATTCGGATCGTTTGTCCTTTCGACGCACCCAATTTAATTATTAAAAATTTAAATCTATTTTTACATCTTACAATGTATGTAATAATAACAATATTATGTTACAAATAATTTTTAACATGCTACAGGTACACGTCGAGGTCCTGGTCGAGTTGTGCTACCTAGAACTGGCGCGCGGCAGGATCGCCCCAGCAGACGACTGCATTGTCGCCATATACGAGACCACGCGAGACCACCAGTGCGACCCGTACACCCACAGCGAGGTCCTGAACCTGGTCGCGGCCGCCGCCACGCTCCGGGGAACCGCGACCCCCGCGCCCCGCACCCCCAGGACCCTTGACGAGGACTTTGAGATGCTGAAGCTGAGCGAGGAGGACGTCAGGACGCCGGTGACCAAACGTCTCCCGGATAATCCGAAGAAAATCGCCGTTAAGGATGAGGACGTGATGAAAGTTCGCAAGGTCATCAAGCTGGACCTGGATAGCGCTGATGAGGAGCCCAAGCGGAAACCAGAGTTTAAGATTCCGACGCGGGTCACGTCGAAGCCGGCCCTAGAAGATGTGACTCCCAGGCCTCGGAGGCCCCGGCTGGTGGTGCAACAACCCTCCGTGGAGGTGGCCACTCCAGCTGTGACGCCGAAACGGGAGGAGTTCCTCACGCCCGCGACCCCAGAGCAGTTTTTCACCCCCATGACCTCCATTAAGACGTACTCCAAGAGGAATCTACGCGGTGACATTGTTAAGAATCTGGAGAAGGAGTTTTCGACTCCGGTCGGGAAAGAGAACGCCAAGAGTAAGGGCGCCAGGCAACTGAGGAGGGCTGTGAGCCCCGGGAAGCTGCGTCCTGACCAGCCCGAGAGACCCAGGAGGACAAGGAAACCAGTTCTAACTGACGGTAAATGAATTGATAATTTTTTTTTTTTTAAGAAATTAAAATAAATATATTTTTAATTTATCTGCGTTTTATTGTGTTGTGTATTGTGAGAAATTATTTGGATTTATTTGAAATAAAATTGGATTTGTTTTCATGATTTTTTTTCTCTTAACATACGTCCTTCGTATAACGCGGTACTTGTATAACACGGTATCGATATTACACGGTACGAATTAGTCGTGTTATACGACTTTATGAGAGGTATGCCAGTTACGTTTTAGGACCAAACTAAAAAATGTTGTTGTCTTTTTTGTTCAATTATGCAGGGTAGAAGTAAGAAGCGCCATCTTTTATTAGGGGACAAGCTGACAAAGTGTCCGTCTGTAAACAGCGCGGTGTTGTTGGGAGACTCATCGACATACCGCTAGTGTAGGCAGGGGACATTATATGAATATAGCGGTTCTAAACAGAGTCAAGTGTGCGCAGGTTGAAGTTTTTTTTATAGCTTAGGTGGGTGGACGAACTCACGGCCCATCTGATGTTAAGTGGTTGCTGGAGCCCATAGACATCTACAACGTAAATGCCGCCCCCCATCTTGAGATATAAATTTTAAGGTCTCAGTATAGTTACAACGGCTGCCTCGCCCTTCAAACCGAAATGCATTACTGCTTCACGGCAGAAATAGGCAGGGTGGTGGTACCTACCTATATTCACTTCAAATCTCTCCACTAGCTATTGTGGCGCCATCTTAATTAACTTTCTTTCAGCGGAATTTTTTTAACACACCTAACTGTTACTCCTTACTCCTACCCTCCACATGTCATACTTAAAAATAAAGAAGAAGAAAGAAACAACTTTTGAAAGATTGAAAATCATCAATTTTTATTTAACGTATTAAAAAAATAAATTATTTATTTTTATGTCGATAAAAATGACACAACTGGGTTTGACAATCGAATCATAGAGATCAACATGTTGTAGTACTTATTGTTCATATGGAAATACTGTCTAATTTGTTTTTTTTAAGGGATTTTATGACCTGGTAACTGAGACCTTTAAGTCATGTCTTATTTTAATTTATATTCATATTTTTATGAAAAATGATATTATGGAGTGAAATGAAATGAAGATGTTTAATTTGAGACAATAATCAACTGGGATGGAACCAAATGAAATGAAATGAGATGATATGGGATGAAATATAATCTCAGTAAAGTGGTGGTCATTTACTAAGATTTTTTAGTGGACTTTTTGGAGGATCCCGAGAAGTTACGTCCAGCGGCTTTGTTTCATTTTCCCACAATTGTGCACTTTCACAGATATTAAACAGTTAATAAACCACCATTATTACACATTTAAACCCGAAGAAACACTAAATAGACAAAATAAAACAAATCACACAGCTTCACTCCTCGCGTTCCCGCCAAAAAGTCCTGTCTAATTTGTTAGATATTAAAACGCGTAGACTGCCTTTATTCCCGATCTCAAGGGTCGGACAGCCGTTTTATTTCAGCAATAGAAGACACAAAAAGAACAAAATGGGGTGAATTATTCATTTATGAATTACGCTGACCGATCGTGAAAAACAGATGGCGTTGTTTTCAAAAAAATCATCCAACTTAATTTTACCGAAAACAACTGAATAATCTAAAATAACATTACGAATTTGCACGAAAGCAATTATTATCTCCTTTTCCCGGAATATTAAAGATAGTTTATCTAGCTTCGCTAAATCATGACGACGATAATATAACTGCATTATTAAAGTTACGTTTCGGAGATTCTTTCATAATGTTCTACATACATTGAACGCTCTTCAACTGATATTAATACTATTTCTGGGCAGACGAGTTAACGGTTTACCTGGTTCTAAGTGTCAATCGGAGTCTATATAGCCTTTTTTTATTGCTTAGGTGGACGAGCTCAAAGCCCACCTGATGTTAAATGGTTACTGGGGCCCATAGACATCTACAACGTAAATGTGCCACCCGCCTTGAGATATAAGTTTTAAGGTTTCAGTGTAGTTACAACGGCTGGCCCCGCCCTTCAAACCGAAACGCGTTACTGCTTCACGGCAGAAATAGGCGTAGTGGTAGCTATAAGTGGAATAGGTACCTAGCCGTGCGGGCTCATAAGATTTCCTACCACCAGTAATAACCTGCAATAATGCGTAAATAATAAATACTGCTAACTATTTTATTGGGACGTGAATCGAAATACAGTAGAATGAGCTCAGTAAGTTTTTTGCCGGATCTTCTTAGTGGGTCGCTATTTCGATCCGGTGGTAGATTCAGCGAAGCACTGCTCTTGCTAGGTCTAGTGTTAGCAAATTCTCTCAGGTTGAGCCCGTGAGCACACCTACCCGCGCGTAGCTGCAATAGTCCCTTAGGCTACCAACGAATAGATACAAAAAAAAATCAGTAGAACGTTTATTCAAGATTTCTATAAGGTTTAATCAAGTGTAATTAAGAAACAGGTTTCTATGTAATTAAAAAAAACCTGTTTATCCGTAATTGCTAGTCTCGTTAAGAGAATAATCGCTCATGTGACATCGAAAAAGTATAATTTGGAAATTTAATTGAACCAGCAATGTATGTCGTTCAAAATAATAAGATATTTAAGTCGGTGACCCGATAACGGTAGTTCAAAATGTTTGAGGTCATCGAGAGGAAAATGTTTACAAAAACAGCTTTAGTATATAGTACGGTACATGAATAGTGGTATTATTTTTACATAAGCTTTTAAACTTCAAATCCATTTTTATAAACTTCATATTGAATTTTGTAAATATCAAATTCATTTTCTATACCAAGGTTAGAGTTTTTTTAATTATTATTCTTTTAAAATTATTAAGAAGAAAACGTAAAAAATATACATGTCAATTCAATATTTACAAGTAATTAATTTTTTATGTTTTCAGTTAATTGTTGTTTGTTTTAGTTTTGTTAATTTTAAAAGAATCATAAAAAAATCCTAACCCTGGATTGCAAAATTAATTAGATAGTTGCAAAATTGATTTCATCTTTATTATTGAAACCCTATAATAAATTAAATGTGTGATATTATATTAAATAAATAAATAATAGTTAAAATAACCACGCTTTTACAGAAAATCCACACAAAAAATTGAAAATACATTTGTTATACAAAAAAGCGTGGAATGCATTGTATCAATAGTTATAAATATTTTATTGACAGACTGATTGATTAAGTAGAAGGATTATCATTTAAAAAATATCTAAAAGAGCACCACACGCTTTTTTTTAAATAAAGCTATTTGATATTTTTTTGTTTAAGTAGCATTATGTATCATAAATTATTAGTTATTGATAAATTGATAAGTACGCCAAATTTCGCGTTAATTCGACGTTTTGAAGGGGATCAAAATCACAGTCAAAGATTCCGTTACATACATTTATTATGTATGAAGCTAATAAAAGCGTATTAAAAATGGTCCATGCTAAGTCCATCCTGACACCACAGGTGGTGGTGGTGGTGGTGGTGGTGGTAGTGGTAGTGGTAGTAAGTGAGTCTGTCAGACCATCTTAAGACACAAAATAAATAAATTGAAAATAGTGTAAGAAAAAATGATTTTATTCTAAAAAAGCGTGGGGTGCTTTTCTGGACATTGTAAAAATAACCCTTCTACTCATATCTGTTCATAAAATATTTATAACTACTGATATTGATGTGCCTCTGGAAAACATACAGCATTGTATTATGAAGAAGCTGTGTGTACTTAGCTTAAGTTCCTTGTCTATACCGTTCCTTGTCTATACTCAACCATAGACTGTCAATGTAGTTCCATCTTTAGCCGCCAGGCGTAGCCAGCAAGTATAAGAGAGCGCAGCCGTCTTTCGTCCTCATAGCGTTGTGTACTTTCGTAGCGTGAGGTCGAAAAATCTTAAAATATTTATTCGATCTGTTACTGATTGTAAAAAATATTCCTTTTGAGCTTCAAAGAGTGTTACTTTGCAATCACTACAAGTGTTAGGTACCAGTCCTATCGTCAGGCACCATGAATCACGCGTCATCTGTCGGGGGTGATGTCGTTTCAAATTTAACAACGTCCGAGAGGGAAGGTATACAGGAGGAACGCGATGGGGACACCTCGCGGTCGAGCTGTTCGACGTCAAGCGAAGAAGAACATGAGGAGCCTCTCCGTAAGAAACATCGGGATTCAAAGGTAACGGTCGATCTCCGAATCGACGCGTTATCCCACCAGGTCAGTGCCCTTACAAATTTAATAATGCATCAACAGTGTGCAACAAGTAATAGCAACGAAAATTGTTGCGAACCTATTGTTGAACACGTTAATCACGTTGATACGGAATACTTGACAAATCCTTCAACAACAGAGCCAAAATCACTGGCGCTAGGTATTTGTAAGACAGACTTCGATGACAAAAAATTCATCAAACCTGCTGACGACAACAGATTGAAACAATTAATTGATCTCCAACATTTTAACTCGCCTAATTGGCAACATGTTCATTATAATAAAGTGCTAAAGGAGATGATCGCGCAACCGGGCTTTTGCAATCTAAAAATCAACGACGAATTGTGTTGTCTTAATAAAGAAAAATATTACCTAGCACCCACAGAGCAATTCATAGCTGCACTGACTAATGCTTTGTTGTACCAAAGGGAAATATTACAATCGGGGTTACAAGGGATCGTTGACTGGGCCCATAAAAATCCAACAGAATTAAATTCCGATCATCTTTTTAATAAAATTACCGAAAACTTTGGTATATCATCGCCATTGTACAAATTATCCGAACAAACGCTGCAGATTGTATGCGGAAAAAGGGCCGAATGCATAGGAATAAGACGTCAGAGGTTAATTTCTGGCATTTCTGATAAAAACATTCAAACTGCTGTTTCCAACGTACCACCCAGCGAAGAATTTTTGTTCGATAATAGTAAATTAAAATCACTAATTCAGGCCCTCGGGGGGCCACATTTCTGGTTATCACAACCTCAGGCAAAAGGCAGGCCAAACCTTAAAAGAAAATTTAATGAGCCT